ATAATCCACTCTACAACCCTCATTGCATACTCCTACGATAAAAATAATGCCCTAAAATATAATACTTTTAGACTATTCTCTCCCCCATAGATACTTTTCAATTTTTAATCTTTAGACTGTGACATGCAGAAAGTGGTAGGAAAATGAATAAAAAAGGATACAAGTTTCTTCATACACCTGGATAGTAGCCATGTCACCCTCCAATCGAATAATCTCTCCAACCAATTCACTGTGGCCCACTCTCACCAGTTCATACATGGCTGCACCTGCCATATCACAAGCTGTAACCACTATAAAAAAACAGAAGGTGACTTAAGACTATAATACTCTGCAAATGTTAACAATTAAAATGTACAGTAAATTAAATATGCCTCTCATCATTCCTAAGTAAATAAAAACACCCATCATGAACTACCCCATACAGTTTCACATAGAGATCCATTCTCAGTATAGGCTATAGTGATGCAATAGTTCAGTGCCTGGCTGCTAACCAAAAGGTCAGAAGTTCAAATCTAACAGTGGCTCTTTAAAAGCAGACCTGGAAATCTCAGAAGGTAGTCTTACTCTGTCAAATGATATCACTACATGTCAGAATCAACTCAATGTCACAACAAATATAAATGAATATACAAAATAAAATTTTTAACCTCAAGATATATAAATATATACATACACACATCATATATATTTAAACAACAGTCAAAATTATAAATACATTCCAGAAGTAGTTTACTACAAGTTTTAGAAGATTATTTTTTTTACAGAAGCAACCTGCTTATATGAAGGTGTACAGCCTTGTAAACGCTGTGGGGTATTCTACCCTATCCTAAGAGTGTCAACTTAATGGAAATACGTTTGTTTCAGGATTTTGTTTTGGTCTTCTACAGGGGAAAAAAAACTCTACTAATGTCTGCTCAAGTTTAAAGCAACAGAATATGGCCTCTGAAGCAAAATTAAAGAACTAAAATATCTAGAAAAAGAAGGTTTGTTGTCAAAGGTTTATTGTTTAAAATGTCTTTCCTAGCCATTGATTAACTGTTTATTTTGTGATGAAATATTTATTTTATTAAGGAGATAGGATAAGGGTGAAATACAAGTCCCACCCTATGAAAGGCCTACATAAGTTCACAGGAGGTCAATTCTCTCTCTTTTGGAACACTCTCTTTTCTGAACAAGGTATCCAGGTGCATCACAATTGACAGTCTGCATTGCTCACCAGTCTCTGCAACATCAGAGCCTGCATCACCCACAGCCATATGAGTCATTCTCCTGATGGTTCTGAGTCTCTGTGTGATCTTCCAGCAAACCACTGAACCCAAGGGAAATAGAGGAGTGGGGGAACTGAATGAAGGAGGAAGAGATCATGTCCCAAATCATGGAGTGGTACAGAAGATCAAACATTTGAGACAATGTTGACTTCTGCCTTCTTGTATCTGGTCTGCTACTAACCTTAGCATAATAGAATTATGAATGCAGGAAATAAAAGGCAGTGTCACTGACAGTCTGCATTTGTATGAATACACAAATCACCACCTCCACTATAGCTAGAATAAAGAAAAGACTAAGACACAAAGAATTACAAATTAACCATCAGATTTTACCTGCTATAAACTGATAAACTCATTTTGCAGTGGGAGTCTGGAATAACAAATGAGTACTAGAATGAGAATTATTATTTCAAAAGCAGTAATTCAAGTTGTGCCAGGATAAAGCTGAAATCTATTTTCATTACCAGGCTCATATAATAAGAATTCTTTTCATCGGTAGCTGGTTATATGATATCTAAAGTGACCATTCAAAAGGGTTTATATATTCACAGATCCAACGGTATTGCTAAGAAATTTTATAGAGACAATTTAAAAGATACTTATTAAATGCCTATCATCTATAAGACATAGGGTATTAACAGCTATGAAATTCATGAAATGTATATAGCTCACCCCAAATTTAACAGCAACCAAAAAAAAAACCCCTGAGACCTATAGGCAAAACTCTGAATATAAATTACATATCTATAAGTTTTTCAGAGTCTAAGAGAAAAATAAACAGACAGTTACAAAGAAGTATCCAAAATAATTATCAAATTTAGATAATCATTGCTAGATGAGACTTCATTATACATGTCTTAAAAGAAGTCATGGGATCTTTTTAAAGGACTGAGAAGAGTTATGCTATTAAATAAGAATTTAGTATTCCTTGCCAAAACGTGAAAAGACATCCTGATCATCAGCTGAATGTAGACATGCATACTATTGTATTACTTACCAGGCCCCGAGACCCCATGGACATAACCAAATGTGCTTTCTTTATCTTCATCACGTATTTTGGGTAGCTTGGAAAAATCCATCATGCCTATTTCACCTAAAATTTATTTTTAAAAAAAGAACATTATTACAAACCACAAAGCAATAGAATTAATGAGTAGTCAACTCTCATCTTCAGTGTATTCTTGGTATTTTATCACATGTTAAAAGTAAAATATAAAATCCTTAAAATTAGGTTAGAAGTTACCTTTCCTGCTGTATATTAACATTCAGAATTATATATATATATAAATATATATAAATAAAAATTAAAGGCATTTCATAAGAAATATTAAGGCTTAATAAAATTTTTTCTATGGCTAATTCAGTGCTATATCATAAGGCTTCCTTTATCTTGGAGCTCTCCTCCAACTACTCTTGCCATCAATCATTCTGCCTATACATAGTAAACTTTTTTGCCATGTCTCAAAAACACAGGCACATTTTGCCTCAGGGCCCCTAAATGTGCTGTTCCCTTTGCTGGAGAGCTCTTCGCCTATACATTCGCTCAAAATTCACTTCCTTCTTGAAGCTTCTTTTCCTAATCCTCCTGTTCTGTGTTTTACCAAAACACATTTCATCAGTTAATCAATTACATATTCAACATGTTTTTAAAACTTTCTCTCTTCTAAAGAAAAAAAAATCTTCCGTTCTTAGAGTCTGCAAGGTATTACAAAGTCACCAAATTATTTCACAAATATTTTTCCTTTTTTAAAATTAATTTTAATGAAACTTTACCAAGACTTTGGATTTCCATTTACTCACTGTTGAACTTTTCTCCCTGACCACCCTTACTCCCTTATTCCCTCTTCTCTTTGAAAAGTAAAAGAAAAATTATTTCATTGTCATACAATCCCTTCCCCCAAATCCACTCCACTATATAGCTGTAGTTCTGGACTCCTGTCCTGACAATAACAAATCCTATATCCCTTTTAAATAGTTCTCTCCCTCATCTGCTTCAATGTAGTATACATTATTTATCCCATCTTTCTCAGTCTCCCCTCAATGCCAATGTCAGCACCATTTTACAACAGTGGCACTATGCAGTATTTATCCTTTTGTGACTGAGATATTTCACTCAGCATAATGTCCTCCAGGGTGATCCATTTTCTGTATTTCATGACTTCCTTGTTTTTCAATGCAGTATAGTATTCTACTGTGTGAATATACCACAGCTTCTCTACCATTCATTTGTTGATGGACACATGGGTTGCTTCCAACTCTTTGCTATGGTGAACAAAGCCATGATAAAAATGGGTGTGCACATATCTGCTTAGGTGGCAGTAAAGGTTTCTTTAGGTTATATTCCCAGTAGTAGAACTGCTGGGTCAAATGGTATTTCTATTTGCAACTTTTTGAGAAAAAAGGCCATACTATCTTTAATAGTGATTGCATCATTTTATACTCCCACCAAGAGTGAATAAGGGTTCCAGTTTCTCTAAGCCTCGCCAGTCTTTGATGTTTGCTATTCTGTTAAATTTTGCACCACAAGATAAAGGTAAATAACCCAACTGAAAAATGGGCACAGGATATGGACAGTTCATCAAGGAAGACATTCAGATGGCCAATAAACACATGAAGTTATGTTCAAAATCCCTATCTCTAAGAGAGATGCAAATCAAAACAACTATGAGATATCATCTGACCCCAGTAAGAATAACAAATATTTTTTTAAATTAAATTTTAAAAGTGGGTTTGAAGAAGACGGTAAATATATTTAGATATTATTCCAAATTAGGCTTTTCTATTAAACATTTTGTTGACCATAAATAGCAACACATTAAAAGATATGATGTTATTAAGTCAATCACTTTAACTTGCTTTTAACCATCTGACTTTAAAATTTATCCTGGACCATTTGTCCTTTTACTGGAACACATTTTAACATCTCATGATGGTCTACAGAACACTTGACAAAATTCTGACTTAGTAGAAGATGACTGCTGCTATAACTTAAAAATTACTAATTATTTCAATAAGGAGATGTAGATTATATATACACATAAAAAAGTGAAAAGAGGGGAAACCCTCATGAGGTAGACTGAACAAGGATTGCATAGTGATGATTATAAAGATGGTGAAGGACTGGGCAGTATTCCATTTTGTTGTACACGGGTTACTATGAGCCTGAACCAACTCACAACACTTAATAATAACATAAAAAGTGAAATCATGTATGATGATGGCCAACTGAGTAGAGACAAGGATTGAATCTTAGACCCTATATACAACAGTTCTGAAGCCTGCCCTGTCCTGAGCCAGTCTCACTGATTCCGACACACCAACGTCCGTTGCCCCAGATACTGTTATCTATCCATTTCATACAGGGTCTTCATCTCCTGCACCCCTTTCAAACATGATGTTCTTCTCCAAGGACTGGTCTCTCCTGGCCACGTGACCAAAGTATGTGAGAGAGAGAGCTTCAAAATCCTTGGTTTCACCCTCTCCAAGACAGACTCATTTGTTTCCTTGGCAGTCCATGATATATTCAAGAATCTTCTCTAGCACCACAACTCAAAGGCATCAATTCTTTTTTGGTCATCCTTAGTCATTGTCCAGCTCTCTGATGCACAGCAAGTAAATGCAAAGACCACGGCCTTAATCAGGCACACCTTAGTCTCAAGAATGATATTATTGCTTATCAGTACTTTGGAGAGGTCCTTGAGAGCAGATTTTCCTAGAGCAATTTGTCTTTTGATTTCCTGACTGCAGGTGCCAAGAGTGTTGGTTGTGGAGCCAAGCAAGCTCTAAATGTTAACAATCCCAATCTCCTCTTCATCTAACATGATGCTGCCAATTGATCCAGTGGTGAGAATCTTTGTCTTCTTGATGTTGAACTTTCATATTGAAAACTACAGTCTTTGATGTTCTGCAGCAAGTGCTTCAGGTCCTCTCCAGTTTCGGCAAGCAAGGTTGCATTATCTGCATAATACAGGTTGTTGATGAGTCTTCCTCCAACCCTGATGCCACATTCCTCCTCATAAGCCCTGCTTCCTGAATGATCTGTTCTATACATAGATTGAGAAGGTATGGAGACAGGATGCATGCCTGATGCATTCCTTCATTGATTTTTAATCATGCTGTGTTTTCTTACTCTCTTCAGAGGACCGCTTTCTGGTCCACATACAGGTTTTGCATGAGCACAATAAAGTGTTCTGGAATTCCCATTTTCCTCAAGATTAGTCACATTTTGTTGTGATCCACATAGTCAAATGCCTTTGCATAGTCAATGAAACACAGACAGACATTCCTCTGGTACTCTTTGCTTTCAGCCAAAATCCATCTTACATTGGATAATGTCTCTGGTGCCATGACCTCTTCTAAACCCAGTTTGTATTTCTGGTAGTTTTCTGACAATGTACTGTTCCAGCTGTTTCTTGTGTGGTATTAGTGAAATTGTTCGATAATTTCCACACTCTGTTAGGTTACCTTCTTTTTTGGAATAGGAATAAATATAGATCTCTTCCAGTCAGTTGGAGAGGTAATTGTTAGGGTGACTTAATCACAAATCCTTAGTTGTTGAATTATCAGTCTCACAGCTAGCTAATCAGTTAGGTTAATGTATCTTACTGAGGGAACTTTCTATCATTACCCTAAACTCAGCAACCATTAACTAGCATCCTAAACTTAAGCTACTATGTCTGAGTTTCTCTTGCCATCAGTAGTGACTGGAGGTCACCAAACAGCAACAACAACATATAGTTAAATTATTTGTATAATACTCAATTTTGTTACATTGGTTATATTCCTCAAGTTGTTTAAGTATACTTATCCACTTTTTCTGAGTTGTTCCTCCTCCATTAACCTAAGCTAATTTCTCTCTAAGGCTCCTAATAATTTATCAACTCATTCTACAGATGTAGTCAATCTGATCCCTTTAAGACTCATTAGGTGAGGTGCATATGTACAATTATGGTCTATGTTTTGTTCTGTTTTTTAAACCACTGTGCGCATCAAAACCTTTATCCAGCAGAGTGAAAAGAAAACCTACTGATTGGGAAAAATATTTGGCAAAACCATTTCAGAAAAGGGTCTCATATCAAAAGTTTACAGAATTCTACTACAGAGTCTCCACAAGAAAAAGACTGATAACACAATCACAAAATAGGCAAAAGACACTGAAAGAATTTTCAGAGGATGATTTGTGGATGGCCAACAGATACATGAAGAAATTCTCATAGTTTATGTTTTTTAAGAAAGTTATCTGTAATGGAAAAAAATCATTGATGGCACAAATTCTATCATTCAATCTCTCCAGTCTTCCTTCTGTCACCAAGACCATATTTTCCAAATATGAGTCCTCTGTTTTCAACTCTGGTATTCAAATCACCAGTCATTATTAATAAAGGAACATGGTAGATAGACTAATTTGTAGATCTTAACCTGAAAATCCCATGGGCTGCCAAAAGAACAAACAAATCAGTATTGAAGGGAGTGTGAACTGGATGGTCCTTAGAGACAAGGATGGTAAAAATTCATCTTATATACTCTGGGCATATTGTCAGAAGGGGCCAATCCTTGGGAAAAGACATCATGCTGGAAAAGGTGGAGGGTCAGAGAAAGAGAGTACATTGGGGGAAATGTGAGGATAGTGCAACATAAGGCAAGATTCTCATCTACTGTTCAAAGAATAGCTATAGTTGCTGATTAGACAGTGCATAATCTTGCATAAAAAGATTAATGACAACCTAAAGAAGTGGATTTTATCCTGAAAACATCAGGGGACTATTGAAGATTAAAAGAGAACTAGTACATTCAAGAGAAACAATATTTTATTCTCTTAAATAGGGACCAAGAGAAGGAATGCAGGTAAGAGAAGTTGAAAATTCAAGAACTGTATGTAAATAAAATCCATGAGACATTTACTGAGTGCCTACTATGGAAAAGGAGCCCTCTACAGCATGGTAATTAGGTTGCTGCCAAATGAAAGGTCAGCACTGCAAGTCCACCCAAAGGTTTTAAAAAGAAAGGTCTAGAGATCTACTTCTGATAAATCAGCCACTGAAAACTGTAAAAAGAGCAGGAACCCTGGGGACAGCAATATCTGT